CCCTATCGGACGCATTCATGCATAAGGACCGGGCGTTTGAGATGTGGGCGTCGGTGGCGGCGGACAACGGGTGCGAAACACAATTCAGGGCCAACCGATCGGTGGAGTGTTTGCGGGCCATAAACGGCCAGAATTTGATTGAATCCACGTTTGATAAGCGCTACAAAACTGATGTCAATGTCGTTAAGCCGTACGTCATATATGGTGACCAGTTTTTACCCAAAAGTCCAACAGAAATGATACGTTTGGGTGATTTTAAAAAGTCTGTACACCTATTGGTTGGCACATCCGGTAAGTAATATTGCGGTATCTTTCATAATTAAAATTTTTAAAATGAAAATTATGCTTGGTGAAAATGTGATATGTTGGCCAAACATATTTTTTTAATTTAGAAAATTTGTTATCATTATAATTATAATAAATATTAATATTAATTGACTACATTAAATAACGTACAAAACGGGTATCAAATTTTTACATTTAGATTTGAATTTGAAAATATACTCAAAAATGCATTTTTTCATTAATACCTTTCCAATAAAATATATTTAATACTTATTCATAAAATTTTAAATTTAATTTTAAAATATCCCGATATAAATGGTCAGTGCGGCCAAACCCCAGGTCCTCGGGTCATATGAAGCATAACACACGACTCTTTAGACTCCAAAGGCTTAGAGAGTGTACTGTCATTGTATATCAATAATTATCAGGTACTCACTCGGCATTGTTTAACATTACGGCCCAAAGCACTTTTTACTATTTATTAAATACTATTCAGAAACTGTACTATTGTATCATGTTATTAACATATATAATTTTTTCAAATGAAAATATTTGTTATTGGAACGACACAAACATTGCTTACATTGCTTGTTAGTAAGTTAATAAAAATAATTAAATTAGTTTTACAAACTACACCAAAATATTTATTTAACATGATCGTTTATAAATTAACTTTTAATAATTTATTATATTTACTGAATATAAACTTTACCATATTTTTAATTGAAATCTAGCTGACGAGGGTTCCCACGTATTGAGCGCTATAGTAAACGCCCAGAAATATTCGCCGACAAACGGACACAATCTGACCAAATCCGAGGCCCGACTCGAATTGGCCAACATTTTTGGCCGCTTTTTCCCCGCACTGGGCGTCGACGCCGACGACGTCTATCGGCTATACGTTCAACAGTACGCCGACAACGACTATCCGGCTATACGTCAAGCGGTTGGCCGAGCGCTGGGCGACTACTTGACCGCCTGTCCCACCATATTGTTCGCCAGGGGTGTGGCCGCCGGCGGAGACACTAATGTAACGCAAGTGTATCAATACTTATGGTCAGTGAAGTACGACAGCAACACATGGCACGGGTCGGACCCGGGACTGGATGTGGGCTTTATGTTTGGCGACCCCTTCCGGGCCAGTCATGCGACGGATGGCGTTACTGATGGTCAGGTGTTAAATGAGCGCCGGGTGTCACTGAGCTTCATGGAAACTGTGGCCCATTTTGCCAGATATGGGTAATTATTTGGTTAATGATCAAGGTGTTTTTTGAGTAACTTATTTGGTTGTGTTAACAGTAATCCGGGTCCTCAAGAGGGGGTGGAGTGGCAGAGCTATTACACGACTAAACGCATGGATATAATTAATCCGTACTTTGAGTTTACAAAGAGGTATTTTAGTGGCAGTGCTTTTAGCGCCGGCTATAAGTATGAATGTTTTCATTTGTGGCACAAATATTTGCTTGGTCAATAAACTTGATCATTTATAAGCAACTACTTAAATATTTGTAGTACATGTATCTATTAAAAATATTACTACAATGTATCTGTTAAAATAAATTAATTTATGTTTATTAAAAATCTGATATTAAACACTTATTAAACTGTAATTTGTTATTAATGAGTCAAAATTAACATGCACAGTTAAGTAGATTGATTAAAATTTGGGAGAATAGAGAAGACTTCATAATAAAAGTATATTTATAACATTTTATAATTATTTACTAAATTAATTATTCTATGTAATTATTTTAATGTATTTTTAACATTTAGAAAAATTTGAAATAAATATGCAGACTTTTAAATGGTCTAAAAACCTGAAAATTTGAGTCTTTATTTACTCATTAACTTCGACGTAATATTATTTATTTTATAAATTTTTATTTCAATAAATTCATCATGAATAATTTATTTATGTTCGCAGCCATAAGTCTCGGGTCCCTGTCCTGTGCCATACAAACCATGATTAATTGCCCGCAGCATAGGATAGGCAACTGAGCAACACTTGGGGTGAAAATCATCTTGAGTAATTTCCCATACGATTATACCACCAAAGCCATTGTCTTTTACCCATTTACTCTTGCTAATTAATAAATAGAAGTACATTGAATGAATTTCAAAATGTAATTTACAAATATTCTATTAAAATTAATACAACTATATATTAGTAAGTTTTTTATAATATCGATCTAATAGCATAGTTTTGAAACCATTATAGTAAATTATATGAATAGAGTGTCTTATATTTTATCTCATGTTTATAATATTTTTAAAAAATTAAAAAAAATTTAAAAAAAATTGAGACTGTAAATTTTTCTAATATTTTGACAAAGTATATAATGATGACAAATAAATTCTAACTATTGGCTTCGTCTCAAGAGTTGACAATAATTATACTTTTAATATTTGTAAGGTAATTTTTAAATTCATTCATTAATAATAGAAAAATAATTTTCATGTTATCAGATAACTAAATCTGTCTATAAGCAGCTTAAACACTGTACATATTGCGTTAATTGTTTAAAACAATATAATAATAATAAATTGCTATGAATTTTTGGTTTAACTTTCTTTACATTTATATTTGCAATATTTTGTTGTCTATTTTGTTATCTATTTTGTTAAGATAACAAAATTCAATACTCACTCGTAGGCGGCGTAGGGGTCGTCGTAACCGACCCAAGTGGTGCCGTGGTATGAGATGGGGTCATGTCCCTGGTCGGGGTCCTCCTTAGCCCAACCCTTATTTTTAACCAAATCACACATTTCCCGATACCAGGCGTTGTCGCCCTCGCCATGGGGTGTCTTACCGGAGCCGGTGATGGGGGCGCCCATCCAGTGTTGGCCCGCATTTTTCAAATTAAACGTATGGCCATAGAATGGCACTCCCATACAGATCTTGTCTTTGGGCAGGCCTTTGCTGGCGAACCAATTGGCCATGTTGATACACTGCTGGTACTTAGAGTGATGGTCAGTTTTGCCCTCCCACGGCCCGGCCCAGTCGTACGTCATGATGCTGGCGTAGTCCAGGGTTCTAGATTATTTATAAAAAACAATTAGTCGTATTAATATACTAGTGATATATAGTGCAAACATACTGCGCGAGTGCATTGAAATCATAGGCCTGTTGTGCGATATCCTCTGTAGAGCCGAGCGCTGCCGACAGCGAGAGTCTGGGGTTTTCTTTATCAAACGCTTGTCTTAATTCCTGGCGTTTTTTAAATTACAAATTAATATTAATAATTAAAACTAATTTAAAAATACAAATCAGAAAATCAACTTACCCTGAGCAAAGTGGCAAAATTGGGCTTGTCGGCTTTGGGGCCCTTATTGCAATCGGCAGCCCAGCACACGGGGAACTCCCAATCGATATCCAGGCCATCGAATTGGTATTTATGCAAATAGGCAATCGTGTTTTTGATGAACCCCAGTCTCAGGCCCTCGTCGGCCACCAAATGCGAGTACTGGGCGTCGGGCTGACCCCAGCCTCCCATCGACACAATGACTTTTACGTCGGGATTCTTGCTTTTCAACGCATGGAGTCGACGGTAGAGGTCGGGCTGTGGGCCGGCGCTGTCGCGCACGACGTTGTGCTGCTGGTCGTACACGTGAAACGCGTGGTGAATGTGCGTACAAAGGGTCGGGTCAATGTTTTCGGGCACATGTCGGTCGTCCCCGCCCGAGTCCACCCGCCAGTTGGGCCAATAGCAGATCACCTTAGGCTTGGCTACGGTCACCAACGCCTGTCCGCATACCAGTACCGTTAGTAACAACAGTTTCATTGTAATAGTTGTTGTTAATTAAGGTTACTGTGTACTGCAAAATGTGCCAGGTTGCATTTGTACAGGTGTTTTTATACTAGATCCTAGTTGTGCTAGATCTGATTACAAAATGATCATAGTATGTTTAGTGCACAGTTTATTTTTTCTATAAAATAAACTTGGTGGTTATCATAATTGTGATAAAGTATCAATGAAAGCGCACATTTGTCCTGTTTGTAGAGTTTTTGAGATAGTTTAAAGCAATAATATTTTTTGCTAATTCAACATGGTCATCAAAGTAACTACCTTTAATATTTGCCTTAATTTAAATTAAAATAGGTTCTAATATAGTTTTAAAAATATTTACTCAAAACTTATCATAATAAAAATTGTACACATGAATTTTTGTAACTGTTTTAACAATATTTTTAATTTGATTATTAATTTATTTGTCCAATTCATCATATTAAATTTTTAAAAAATTATAATAAAATTTAAACAAAATTTAATTTACAGTTTAGAATATAATAATAAATATTCCTAATAAATCTTAAGCAACTGGTAATATGGTTGCTTGCTACAAATTATTGCACCATATACTATTATGGTTATTTTAACAAACTGTCAGTTTAACAACATTTGTACAAAATATTTAACATTGATTAAAATTATTTTATAAATGGTATGCAAGCGAGTAATTGTAGCATATAATTTTTGCATTACGTGTAATAAAATACTTAACTCACAACGACCCAGGGGGAAAATGCATCCCCCTCCATTAAATTAAGGGATGTGGCAAAACATTGATTCCACCTATTGAGTCGATGGTAATTTTTTACTCACCTTGGTA